TTAGCAGGGCCTTATCACTATATCCCGCACCCCACCCCACCCCGACCCCAAAGTCCCACCCAAGGTCCTGTCCCACTGAATTACTTGCAGTTTCTAGAATCTGGAGTAGTCCAGGGTTTCCAGAGTCCATCAGACAAACATATTTTTGCTCACACTGAGCCCTCTGCTTCTAACACCCTTCTTCTACCACCGTTTCCCCAACAGCCTAGCTGCCATCTTTCTCCATATATCTCTTTGTGCCCATAAGATTTGTAATACATACTTCTGCCTTAGCAACCACCTCATTCTGTTGCATTTACTTAGCTTCAGTCTCCCAACTAGTTTGTGAGTTCCTCATCTATTTTAACAGCACGCAGGACAAGGCCTAGCATAGGTTCAGTACTCAGTCCCTGATCACAGAATAAAATATACCAGGGACATAAAATAGCTAAGAGAAAATACACAACAAACCCTACTGAAAGTCTTAAGACCTTAAGTGGTTCCTAATATTTTGTCAAAGTACTTGCTCTTTAAGTAACAGATGATGGAGAAAAAAATGATAAAAAGCAACTCTGACTACAATAATGGTTTTGAATTCTTTTGCATTTAATCAGTCACCATAGTATCTACATACATTCTCAAAAGGGCAGTCCATACCTGTGTGAGATGCATTGTTTATCTATCCCCACAGAATAGATTTGCAGACCTTCTTCAACAATGGGATGAAAATCAAGGAGCTCATAACTAAGCCGCTATCTCCAGCTCAGTAGCCTGGTATTTAGGGGAAAGAGTGTGCAACAAAATCTTACCAGATCACCCTCTCTGAACTGGCTATCCTTCTGCCTTTAATTTTTATCCAATTGATAAGAGAAATCGGCATGTGAAGATCACACACAGTATCAGATTCTCAGTCTCTTTCTCATACAGTTTCTAAAATCACCATTGAAGAGGCGCCTGGGCGGCTCAGTCGTTAAGCGTCTGCCTTTGGCTCAGGTCATGATCCTAGATTCCTGTGATCGAGCCCCACACTGGGCTCTCTGCTCAGCGGGAAGCCTGCTTCTCCCTCTCCCACTCCCCCTGCTTGTGTTTCCTCTGTCTCTCATTCTCTCTCTCTCAAATAAATAAATAAAATCTTAAAAAAAAAAAAAGGGTGAATGGGAGGGAATTTATCAGGCAAAGGGTGTAAAGGTAGATTCCAGGCTGAAAGAACCACATGTACAAAGACATGGAGACCTGGTATGTCCCAGGAGGAACAAGAAGCTGAGGGGCCAGTAGCCAACTCGGAGGCAAGGGAAGGAGTGGAGGCCATACTGAGGCTATGAATAGGGGCTGGAGCATAGAATCTACATGTAAGGGGGCGCCTGGCCGGCTCAGTCGGTAGAGCATGGGGTTCTTATCTTGAGACTGTGAGTTCGAGCCCCACATTAGGTGTAGGGATTTTTTTTTTTCTTTTAATAGACTTTATTTATTTGAGAGAGAGAGAGAAGAAGCAGGGGGAGGGGCAGAGGGAGAGGGAGAAGCAGACTCCTTGCTGAGCAGGGAGCCCAAAGTGGGGCTCAATCCCAGGGTCCTGGGATCATGACCTGAGCCGAAGGCAGACTCTTAACCGACTGAGCCACCCAGGCACCCAAAATAAAATCTTAAGGAGAAAAAAAAGAATTCACGCAGAGGGTGTGAAGCACAAGGCATAGCTGGAAAGGGTAGGGACAAGAGCTGCAGGAAAGGGAAGAAAGTTCTGTCTGGGAGGGTGCAGAGATGGTGCCGTTCAGACTGAGGAAAGGAGAAGGGCAAGAGGTCAGTGACCTCAGGGTGTGCTGAAGTGGGGATGAGACACAAACGGGTTCTAGAGATTTCTCTAGGCTGGGTCGGTGAGCAGCACGGCGTCTGTGCCCCAGCCCCCACCTGATATTGTCAATCCAGCAGTCAATGATAACTGGCAGCAGCAGTTCGAGGTTGAGCCAGAGCGTGAAGTAGCTGTCTGTCCTCTTGGAGCACAGGTAGTGCACGACCGTTGGCTTGTCTAGCTTTGCTTCCAGCTGGTTGCCCAAATCACCGGGCACTGCAGAGGGACACAGAGCACGCATGAGGCCCTGGACCTGGCAGGCTGGGGACCCCTGAGGCTTGAACCCATAGGCCTTCTACCCACAGCTGTCCCAGGCTACAGAGGAGGGCCTTGTTCACTCAAAGGAGTGGGAAACAGGACAAAGCACTGGGCCACTTAAACAACCAAAACTGAATCCAGAGAAGGCACTCCAGGACAGGCTTGTGCAGCAGGGCAATGAACAGAGGTAGCTGCCAGCCTCCTGAGAGCCCAGTAAGGTTCCAGGGAGCAGAGCATGTGGAGGGCCCTAGCCTCTCAGCACACCTGGCCCCTGTGGCAGAGATGGCTACCCTGAAACCTCACAGCATTCCAGCCATGGCCCAGTAGGGGTGGTGTGCCCAGGCCCCAAGGATAACTTCTCTCTGCCCAAGCTGCTCAACAGACCAGCTACACAGAGCCTGGTCTACACGGAGCCCTGGGGTCCTTGTGACACTCAAACCCATCCCCCTGGCTTCACTGCCCAACATTAAGGCCCTTCCCAGAATATTTGCTCCCACTGACCTTTCAGGCCTCACCTGCTTCTACATGCCATGCTCTTGACACCTTCCAAGCACATCCCCATTTAGAATCCATGATCCCCGAGTGAACAACCAGCTCTTGGCTCTCCTGAGCGTTCTCGGGGCTCTGTGAACCCAGCCTTGAAGAGGGCATGCCCTCCCTGTACATCATCTGTGTCCTCAGGGCTACCATGGGAGGGAGGTGTGGCACCTGCCTTCACCTCCCCTAACAATACAGATGCAGAAGTGGGGAGTCTTCAGTATGACAGCACAGAGACCTTGGTCACTGTCTCCACCAAAAAGGAACTGGCTAAATGAGGAAGCCACCGGATTTGTTGTGCCTGAATGCCTTTTGTCCTGCACAGGCTGTGTGGTGATTTCTTAAGCCCCATGTTGCTTAAAACTAGGACAACAGACATCTATTTACCCTTCACTGCAAATAACACTGGGAGAGAACATCCTTACAATGCCCACTTTACAGACAAGGAGACTGAAGCTGAGAGAGGCAGAAATGACTTGCTACAGTTTCCTCCTGCCCACTTTTTTTTTTTTTT